AGAGATTGTTCTTTCGCACGCAACAGTACAGCGTTAAATTGCGAGGAAATTGGGTTGTTCCACAGCATAAATATAAAATTAGAATGTGGAAAGAATAGCACATATTCTTCGATAGTAAGGTTATGTTTTTCCACGATATTGGTCTTTTATCATATTATAATATAAAAAGCAGAATACTGTAATAAGCATTACAATAAGTATAGCAGTCGAAAGTTTTAGTGAAAATTAAAAATTACCGCGACATCTTTTATATCATTTTTTCCTTCCTAGCAATAAAGACAATCGTTGACCGTGAAAAGCCATTAAAATTTTTTATCATAGATATCAAAACCATAAATTATAAGTAATAAATACCAATAGATCTTTGTACTTTTTATGTTTTATCTAATATGATTTTATATTAATTTCACAAAATAATGAAATCAATAAATGAGAAAGACTCTAATATACTAAATAAATAAATTTAAATAAAAAATAAGTTAATGAGAACGCAGTAAAATGTAAATTGATTGTTGTTTTGACAATTCTTCTTTGTTAAATGTTTTCAAAAAAATCGTTGAAAGTCAAGACATAAAATATTTTTGTTTTTATATGCTATTTGTATTTTTTTCGTTTTTCCCTCATCATAATGTCAATCTTCTTTTGTTTCAGTTTTTACTAAAGATAGTCTCAAAAAAGGAAATATTTGACAATTAAAGAAGAATTGCTTTAATCATTGCGCTTGATTTTTATTAACTCATTTTTTATTTACATTAATAATAAAATAAGAAAGAATTCTTGTTAAATCAATATAAATTATCAATATAAATTTAAGAAAACAACCGTCGGAAAAATCACAGAATTATCAATTGTTTTTCATTCTCTCTTTCTTCAATTCCTCTCCAAGAAAATTTCGTAGCAGCCGTCCATGTACGCGAGATCTCGGACATAATACTAACGCCCATCCCGGCGTAATAGAGCGCTACAGATATAGAGAACGTAAGGAGTCGAAGAGTTGTTCTTGTTCCAGCGGGCAAGGATCAACGATCGGGAGATGCGCGCGGGGATGATTTTTTACGGTCATCAATGTAAGCGCGGCTACGTCTTAAGCCACGTGAATGACGTGAATAAAGCCCCTACGCCTACGCCGAGCCCCTTCGGCGAACGTGCAGTTCCGGACGCGCGCGGTGCCTCGTCCGTTCGTCCGTCATTAAACTTGCATCTGTATCGGTCACGAGGCTCACCGATTGTACGATCCTTGCGTACGTGCATAAGCACGATAATGGCCGATAATAAATTATCGATCGTAATTTATTATCGACCGTAATAATCGCACTCTCCATCGAACAATTTTCAATTCGCGATCGATCCAAGAGGGAGAAAGGATAGAAAAATGGCAGGACGTTATAGAACAAACGACGCGATAGCCAATCGAGCTTTTCCATAAAAGCGAGAGGATGATTGACTTTTCGCTTTTTGCCAAACGTTTCCTGTTTACGTGTGTCAAAACGAGAGTAGTCGATCGAGAGTAGTTGTTCGTAAACGCGCGACCATAACAAGATAATGTTTCGCAAAATCGATATCTCTCCCGCTGTTTTACACGAGTGGATTGTCTTTACCAATATCTTCGATATAACGAAAAAATTTGTTATTTTAAAAAAAGAATATAAAATATAATAATATAATAATATAATAAATATTATAATATAATAATATAATAAATATAATAAATAATATAATAAATATAATAAATATAATAAATAATAGAATAAATATAACATAATAATATAATATAGTATAATAAGAATAATGTATATTTTTAAAGAAAATGCCCTTAATCAAGGACTCTTTGTATTAAATGCCAGCTTTAAGAGAGGAAGTAACTCGACATGAGGCTTTCGACTTTATCAACTCCATAAAACACGTTTAACGAGCCGATCGGGAATTAATTATAACACCCACGTTATGTATGTATGCACCCACGACTTGGCTTTCTATTATGCGGAACTTGATTTTACAAGCGAGAACTAGAGGAGGGAATGGGAGGGAACACAATGCCGATGGAAACCGTTATTACATGGAGCTATCGCGAGCCAATCTTGTGCATAACTCATCGGCATTGTGCGCGAGTTGCAGCTGCAGTGCTCGCGTCAATCGAGTGTCTGCTTCGCGCAACGAGATTCGCAAAGTGTTGCGATAAAAGAGCTGTTTGATTCTACGAAAAGGGGAAAAGAAGCGTCGAAAGAAAGAGGAGAACCGAAGCGATATACGGTCGATAATCGGCCCGCCGGTTGCGTGAGGTCACCCGAGGAAACCCTTCCCTCCCCAACCCTCCCCTTCCGACCTAGGTATTGTCAGTCCGATCACGAAGCGACCTCGCATCTTTCCTGGCGATCGCGAGGGATGCTGTTTTCGCGAGCGCGCGCGCTTTTATCTCCCCGTACGATCTCGACTCTGAGAATGCCTGGCTCTGCTACATTTTCCTCACGAGCTTCACGAGCGTGAGCGTCGAGTTTGATTTCCAGATTTCAGACGGAATGTTAATTGCCGGCCATCCGCGACCATATCGGGACACTTCGAGATATAATGCTCTCGGAAACGGAAACTTTCTCGCGTGGGCGCGATCAATTCTAAATAACGTCGTTAAAGCAGATGATTTAAAAAACTTTCGAAACTCGATACTTTCGACGGATTAAGTCTGGCTTACTTACGAGCGAAATGTATCACGTCGCGTTGCTTTGTGCGCGCGTTAAACCGCGCGAATTAATCCGCGAACGGGCGGAAGAATCGGATTAGTCGCATCGATCGGAGACAAAGTATAGACCGCGATCTGCCTGCTGGCTTCGCAACAAGATCTCATTTCCAGCTGGCTGCACCGGAGCAAAAACAAGGAGAACAAGAAAGAGAACAAGAAGAAGAAGAAAGAGGGATAGAGACGCTGGTCGCCCGCAGCGCGCGCGCTTTTTTTTTCCTCTCTCGCGTGTGAGACGCTCTCCTCTCTCAAAGTACTCTCGGCGGAGAGTGCGGCAAACTTTCTAGAGATGACCGACTCGCCTACGGGGACCTCGATTCCGGTCCCTTCGGCGGATCGTTGATCTTGGCCGAGTTCCACGGCGACCTCTTAATCACCGCGATCGCGCTAATTTATCCACGACGAAGTCTCGTTTTACTCACATGCGATGCCAAGAAAAATCGTATTCAAATGAAGAGATTAATAAGACTCCAAAGTGAAACTTAAATTTTTCAAATCTCTAAATTAATAAGAGCGTTAATATTATTTTTTGTGACACTAATTAGCATAAATTTTTCTTGGTCCTAAATCTATTTTTCTCATCTACCTTTCTTCGCGGAAATAAGAGGGATTTATTAAAACAAGTCTCGCATTGTTAGATTTTATATGTGTATTTAATATATATAAGAAAAAAAATGTATCCTGTGCGCACTAATCAGTTTCACAGAAAAATTAATTATTGCGATCATTCTGACTGTTATTTGATTTGAGAGTCTTATTTTCGTGAAGATCTAAGAGATTTGATAAATTCCGCAGAGTTGCTGATAATCAATCATCTCGTGAGAAATCATAATCGGATAATTAAATCGTCAATTTTCTCTTATTGTGCGTTAACCAGCGCATTTATAAATAATACGTATACATGTAGAAACAGCGTGTAATTACAACGTTAATTACGCCTACCAATCCCGCGGCGCTGACTCTGTAAGATAACTCTGACATTGTTGTATACGCATGTAACGGATCGCGTAGATTTTGTTACGGTATTTCCGGCGTAGCTTTGTAGCAACGAATGCCGACGAGTGTCGGAAAATACTCGATCTGAGAGATCTGCACGCGTGTCATGTTGGACACATGAATCGTTGACGTATCGGCGGAATACGTCATATCTCGAAGTTACTGTAAATCCATGAAATCGTGTAATAGAAATAGCAATAGATTCAAGAAACTGTTCGAGGTACCACATCCTCTTCTTTCGTGATGTTAAATGGGATAGACAGTTATTGAAAGTAATATTTATCGAGAGACTTTGATTATATATCGATCATAACATGTTACAGATAAAAAATTACACGCGGAATGTATCGCCTCTTACAACATTTATAAAGCTGGAATATATAATACACGACGACGATTAAGATATTTTTTTTACTATAAAAATTTTAAATCATGCATTTTATAATTTGTTAATGATTATTTATTTGTGCATCAAAATATTTAAATAATTACACGCAATATTTCTTTGCAAAATATAATATATGTTATATTTATTATATACGTATAATATATTATTGAATAAAAATATCGTGATTTCTCTTAATATTAATACCCCACGATTTTTTATAAGAATTATATTGCAATATATTTTTTCCATGTACGAATGAAAAATATTATGATTGAAAAACAGATGCGAAATATTAAGTAACAGCATTGAAACCGTCAACGGTGCTTAAAATAAGACTAATAAATTAAAGTACTAAAGACTTTAAGAAATTAGAAAATATAAATTCCGAAAAAAGATGTTGAGCTCTTTTTGAATCTTGTGGCTTTATGAAAGAGGCCATACGCGTCTCTGTCAAAGATCTCCTGTCATTACGCATGCAATTTCCCACGTGGTCGTGACGGCGGAGGCAGAGAATCTTGAGACATTCGCTGACTCGCAGGACATGGCTGTCTATCAAACGTTAAACGAAGTTCGTCGTTCACTTCCGCGCGCGACGACGATTTTTCTTGAGTGACACAACACAAATCCATCGGCGGTTTTCTCCGCGAGACAGGAAAAAATTGGCGGCCGCGTTTCGCTCAGTCGCATTACGTGACGAACCAAAGTCGGCCGGTGCCTTTCAAATGAATTTCTGATCGTTTCATCCATGTATCCTTCTTACACTGTTTTTGTAACGTTGTTTGAAAATTATTACAAGTGAAGATTATTAAATTATTATAACTGAAGAATTATTTTAATCGATCTCATTATCCGGGATATATTCATCATTATTATCTGTGTTTTCAGAAGGCGTTCAAACGGATTCCAACCCAAGCGGACTCATCCATTACTCGAATGTGCAGCGTACTGTTACAGGAAAGGTAATTAGCGCAATTATTATTTCATGTTGGACACAACGAGGAATTATTTAATAACTTAATAATTCAGTACGTTCTTAATAATTCATAGCACTTAGAGGGAAGAATTCTAAATGAAATTATCAGTAAATACGACGACGACGCTTGTTTTGCTTTATCATTATTACATTGTAAGAAGATACTTTTATTATTGACTTTCGTTATTATTATCCAATTTATAAAAATCCTTTTTTCTGTTACTTTCCATCTTCGTAAAATGTAAACGAGACATTTCGCTCATACATATGCGCGTGTGTAGGCGTTAATTTTTGCGACTCTTTGCTCGAATAAATTAGCATGCGTTTCGCGCAAACGGGAGAAAAAAAGAAAGAAAAAAAAATACATCGGCCGATGTATTTTTTTTTCACTGTTGGTGGCAAAAATATACGCGGAAGAAACGCAAGATCAGAGTGAAAGAGAGAGAGAGAAAAGGACAAGGAGAACGGGTCGCTTATTACCGCTGCTGGGTATCGGCAATTCGCGACGCGGCCAGCTGTGTGCCTTCTGTATCTACTTGTCTGCACTCACGCTAAAGCGCCTTTACCTTCGTTCGCCTTATGCCGCGGAATGACTTGCTAATAACACGAATCGTTATCTAACGAGAGGGAATCGGAAAGTTCCGCGCGAAACAATGTGTTCTCCCTTTCGCGGGGAACGAGGGGTCCCGATAATGACGGGTCGGCGCCGAAAATGAATGGTTAAAGTCGCCGGTAAATTATATCTCTCCGCAATTCGATTTCTATTCATCAGATGTTTCTTTACGTTGAGCGTTCTCTTAAGATTATCTCAACATTTTGACGTATCGCATCAATTTTATATATGAATTATACAATATATTGAAATATTAATATCAATTCTATAATAATTATATTTAAATATTAATATAAATATTGTTAATGCTAATATTAATATTAAAATTAAAATATTATTAATTTTGATATTAAATATTAATATTGAATATATTTAAATAATATTAAATGATATTTAAATATTAATTATTTTGGTGAATATAAAGGAAACTAAAATAACTTAAATTATTTTTTTAGATTAGATAATTTAAGAATGCACTAAAAAATATATTAATGGATCTTCTAGTACGAGGAGCGAGAGACACTCGACATTGAGGCCCTCAACAATACGAGAAGGGCCGACCGGCAGGTCCTGTTCTTCAATCGCGTGCCAAAAGTCGGTTCGCAGACCTTCATGGAGCTGCTGAGAAGGTTGTCGATAAGGAATGCGTTTTCGTTCAACAGGGACCGCGTGCAGCGAGTCGAGACCATACGTCTTGCGCCGATCGAACAGGTAACGAGCGACCCCCGGCCAGAAGGGGCCCCCAATCAATTATCATCAATCGCGCAACGACGTTCGCGTAGTAATTACCTATCTTAATTTATAATCCCGTCGAGCCCTACATGGTGATAGAAAAGTACAACGATACCCAGTCCGATCAAGTGATTCACGCGCTAACGGTGCCGTCTCTTCTTCGTACTTCCTCGTGCTCGCCGCGGGTCTTTCGTTCTTGATAAAATTATGGGAGGGAAGAGAAACGAACGTGTCGTTTATTTTTCATATAGAAACCTGCCATGAAGAGCGATAAAGATAAGGGATGTAGCGATCTACGTGTATCTTGTTATTACGACATTCGGAGGAAGTAGAATCCGCGCGTTCGATTTAAAGCGACGAATTCACGAGTTGACGTTTGCCTAGATTTTTCGCCTAGATTTTGCGAAAAGATCCCTTTATTTACGAGAATCGTAACTCAAGAAGGAAAATAATAATAAAGAATTTATTATACTCTCTTCGGAATCTCGTCCTTTCAAAGTACATTGAAAGCGCTGTATAATGTGTACGTAATTTTGAACTAACTTTATTTTGTATACATTTTCAGCTTCATCTTGCCAGGATGGTCAGCAGTTATTCAGAGCCATCTGTCTACGTAAAGCACGTCTGCTTTACTAACTTCACAGAGTGAGTGCCACGAGATTAGCCTAGGCAATTTGAATGATTGCTACCACTCACAATTTTCTACTCACTACTTTCCTTGTGTCTCTCCTCGTCGTCAGATTCCATCTACCAGAGCCGATTTACATCAACGTGGTCCGCGATCCCGTGGAGAGGGTCATATCCTGGTATTATTATGTAAGAGCGCCGTGGTATTACGTGGAGAGGAAGCAGATCTTCCCGGATCTGCCGCTACCCGATCCCAATTGGCTTAAGAAGGACTTCGAGTCGTGCGTTCTTAAGGGCGATCGAGAGTGTAGATATCTGGAGGGTGAAGTCCACGAAGGTATCGGCGATCATCGCAGGCAAACGCTCTTCTTCTGTGGGCACAGCGAGAAATGCACGTAAGAAAGTTGTTTATAAAATATCAGAAAAGAATCTCTACAAATAAAATCGAATAATCAAAAAAAATATCACATCACAATAATGCAAAATAATTTTTAAATATATTAAATAACATATATGTAATATACATAGTAATATAATACATATTAATAATAATACTTTAATCAATTTGAAAATGTTATTTAATTTTTATAGTTATCAAAATGATATATAAACACGTAACGTGTTTTTTAATAAATTTGTCTTTTCAAGTCCTTTTAACACTGTGGGTGCTTTGGAACGAGCCAAACTGGCGGTGGAGAAGCACTATGCAGTGGTTGGTGTCTTGGAGGACATGAACACGACTCTCACGGTACTGGAAAATTATATACCACGATTCTTCCAGGGAGCCACCAATGTTTATTATGGTAAATAATCGATCAATTAGTTTAATTAAATTAGTTTAATTAAATTCAATCGATATAATTACATTTACATGATATTATTTTATGCATACGATTAATACAGGATATATCATTAAAAGTTTAAAAACATTTTTGTAACTTATATATATATATATGCAATAATAATTATTAATATATTAACAATACCTTGATATTTTTAATATTTTTATTATTTATTATGCAATAGTAATTATTAATATATTAAAAATATCTTGATATTTTTATATATTAATATTTTAAATATTATGTTACATTTGTAAGAATTTAATTATCATAATTATTTCAATCGTACATGATATTTCTCGATATCTTTCATACAGATCAAGTAAATTCCTTCACGAGAATCAACCGGAACTTCTTCAAACCGCCAGTCAGCGAGGAAGTGAAGAACCTGGTGCGCAGCAATTTTACTCGTGAGGTCGAATTCTACCAGTTTTGCAAACAACGACTTTACAGACAATACAGAGCTCTCAAGTTGCAATCCAACGTTCTGTGATTGGCGAGCAATCTCTAAAAAAGATCTTCCGTCCATTGTGTGAGTGTATTTATTAAAAGGTAGACGTGCGAAAAGCATTACCAAGAAGGACGTATCTCGATATAAGTGCATTAATTACAGTGATTTGCTAAACAAGTATGATAGTTAGTTTTGAAGAATTATTAGTCTATGAGAATTTGATTATTTGTAAGAGAAAGAGACTCTAATAATTTCCAGATAAGTATCGGAGATTCGCGAAAAATACCGTGTTCTTTATTAATTCATTTCGATATTATCGAAATCGCAATTTCAGTAACAACTATTTCGAGTCGAAATGAAGAGCTTACGATATTTTATTGAAGGTTTAATTACAGTGACTACTCCACAAAATCAAAGACAAAGAAAGGAATATACACTTATTATATTTCCTTCAATTGTTTCCTTAGCGATTGTCAATTTGCTTTTAAAGGAATTTTCACGAACTTACAGTGAAGAAATAAAATTTCATGACATCAAATTATAAAATATCAAAGAAAGAGAAAAAGGAGCATGATTAAATTACTGTGATCATTTTAGAGGATCTTGATGAGAATATAAATCTAGCCCACTACAAATTGTCGACTACTATTCTATGACAAAAAGACAAAGATGTGTTTTGTCGAAAGTGCTAATATAATCTAATGCAAAAGAAAAATCTTGACTTGTGTCAAGCGAAGATAGAATGTGGTCGTATAATCGAAATGCAATTAGAAGGACTATTAAAAGAAAAGGAGAAAGATTGGTGTACATTTAGCGTTTAATGTTTGCAAAGTTTCACGGGAGAAGGAGGAGGAAGACTCATCGTTTTATATAAAGACTTATGTGACGTGGATGCAACGTGCAATCCAAAAATAGAGACGCTCTCAACGAGTGCCGTTTGGTCTCTGCGATCGGACGTCATGTTGCTATTTTTTTTTAATAGGAATCACGCGCGAATTTGGAACGCATTTATCATTCTAGGCGTATATATTTCACAGCGATCGAAATAGAGCGTTTTCGTGGTGATTTTTTTCAAATTGGTGCTGAAGAAACGACGCAAAGACTGATAAAACCATGATTTTAATCGCGGAGTTACTTACGATAACAGAGAGAAATTATGCAGATTAAACAGTTAGAATATTTGCGCTTTGTAAAGAGAAAATGCATAACACACATTTGTACTTTCACCGATTATTTGCAATAAAACGCTGCCATTTAAAGGAAAAAAGATGAATCATTTTTCAAACATTCCTCTCGAATTATTTTACCGTCCAAGAAAAATCTGCTATCAATGATTTATCTTTTATCGTTCGCGCCGATATCGATATTCGTGCCTTTATCGATTAACATCAACTTTAAAATCTCCAATCTCGCTCTGATAAATTATTTGGTAAACGTTAACTCGATCTTTTTGTCGTGTCGAGTCTAAATGTATCGTTCGAATGAAGCGTACATGTTAAATCGCACTCCTTCATCATTCTATAAAATAGTTCACATGAGTTCGGGACTATAGCGTTTTATTTCGAGAATCTCTAAAATGAGACTCATAAATACGCGAACCATGACATTTGCGCGCGTTTTATATGTTTACATTTTCTGACGCGGATGAACCAACAAATATTGTTTAGATTTTTAATACAGAAATATGAACTTTTTCATTTCAAAATAGACAAAATAAGTAAATTGAATGATACAGCGAGAAAATGAATAATTTGTAAAGTTCATTTTGAAGACGGTTTGATAAGTAAAAAATTTCAGAAACACCCCTCTTTTATACTTGTCAATTTAATTTTAATGTTGGGATAAAAGTATGAGATAAAGGTAGACGAATTTTTGTAGTCGCGAAACAAAAAAAAATTATGAATCGCTTCATTTATTATTTTAATAATATATAGAACATGAATATGAGTGTATGTGTATGTGTTACAGATGTATATATATTTATATATATATATATACGTTTATGTATAAGTATTTGTTATATTGTACTCCTTCCTTAATATTCAGCCTTTTTTCGCGCATATATATCTAACTTCTATTTTCAATCAACATTATTTACGCACGCGTTCTCGCCTCACAACGATACGCATATAAATTGACTCGATTAGAAAACAAAGAACGCTTAACGTAATAATTTCGTCTAACAATACAGATAATTTTGTAATAAGGAACGAGGCGAAGAGTAACGTCGAGAGTTATTCTGATAAAATTTCGCAAGATATTACATTAATCTTTCAAAGTTTTCTTGTAATATATAGGACACACAATACCATATTTATAAATAAACATATTACGCTAATAATATGAAAATGTCGGTTTAGTCGGTTTTCACAAGCGCAATTTTTACATAGATCTAACTATTCGATGTTTCATGAAAATAAAGGAAATTAATTCGGTATTGCACAGTAATATGAGAGTATCGCATGATAATCGAAAGCAAACTTGCTCTTGTTCGTTTTTGCAATTGAACACCTTGTACATACGTATATTCAGACTTTGTATTTTTATCTGTGAATTTGTCAGCGCCCATCAACATTAAAATAATTACATCTTTTAATATTCAAATATCATCAAATTGTACGATAAACCTTCGTAAATATACCTTTGCAGGATCAAATATTTTATTTTCAAATATATAATCGATCCTTGATATGCACTGTTTCGGATTGTTGAATTACATTTACAACGGAAATAGAAAGCTTTCAATATTGCAAAAGATTTAACGTGGATTTCGACTTATCTATGTATATATATCTATGTATCTATGTATATATCTACATAGAAAAATATATACGCTAATCGACACCGTCTCGGACACAGAAACGCTTACAAAGAGACACGATTGAATTTACAATCATATGATTTATAATAATCTAACAATTAGGCAAACGTTCAGGCACATTTTCCATCGATCCATCTTTTTATCAATAACACGAATATATTAATTACCTGGCGTAAAGCTTTCTACAAATTAATTATTGATTCTTATTAGTCCAGAAATATTTGATTGGGACGGATGAAAAAGAGAGTGAGAGAGAGACACATGGACGGTATCGACATATCTCGTTGTAAGATGAAATCATTGATGATAAAATGATAATGTAAACATGTAGTTCAAATTGTGTACAGATCCCAAATTTATAAAATATAAGTTTAATAGATATCTCAAAAGGATTAATATTTTCCTAGGCACGTATTCTGTGATAAATATCAAGAAGTATTCTGTGATAAATATATCAAGAAGAAAATCTATTTCATGATAAATATCAAGAATCAAGTCTATTTTACAGAAATAAAAAAGTAATATATTTATTATATATATTTAATAATATATTCTTGAGATCTAATTGAGGGCTCTAACATTATTTTAGTAATTACATTATTTTACTAATATTATACAACTGTAACTGTAACTATCGATGTTTTATTGTTATTTCTTCAGTTTATCTTCTAATATTCGTGATAACAAGGTCTATTTTAAAAATTACAAATGATATCCGCAAAAGTGAATAGATAATTTTTGCCATAGTTGAAAATGTTTAAACTTCCCTTGAACTCTCTTCTGTGTCCGAGACAGAAACACCTTTAAAGTTATGAGACGTTAAGCTAAGGTACAAATATAAATGGGGAGACCAAGAAAAATAGTTTGTTTCACAAAAATTTCGCTTACATCCCGAATCTTTCGAGTGTCCTTTTTTAGGCTCGTTAGAATGTATTGTACTCGTTTCATCGGATTATATTATTATTGTGGAAATGACTACCTTTCACACGCACGCATTTTGCTTCCGCATTTATCGCGTAAATAAACGATGCATTCGTGCAGAATTAAAAAAAGAAATTTAAAAAAAATATTTTTATTGAAATTATCCAGATCATGTGCGTTTAAAATATGAAGAAAAAAAATTATATAATTAATATTTCGCCAAAGTTGAAGTCGGTTATCTTTTTTTTCGTTGTCACAACATTATCATTAATGATTCGGGATTACTTGATTGTGACGTATTTCTAACGTTAATTAATGCGGTTACATTGTATTTATATCGAACATAACATTATGGAAATACTTACAGAGAGAAACACGATTGAGTTTATAGTCATATGGTTTATAATAATCTTACAATTAGAAGTATTTCAACATAATAAACGATGTAGGATATGATAGCAATATATCGCAGCGAGAGCAACTAATGGTCTGCGATCTGGAAAGAGAAGAAAGAAACTATACAAATGTATTAAAGATATTCATCCTTTTACTTCCAAATCGCAAGAGAAGATTACTTATTCAAGAGAGAAAGAGATTTCGAGACATAGATATACATCTTGAATTAAAACATAAACAAACGATGACAACTATTCTCATTCACGCATCATCAATTTTTATAGCCCGTTAAAATGATTAAAAAGTAGAGGAATATATATAAAAGCCCCGTACATAAAGTGATCGATGAGATTAGTACACGCACTCAACGTTCTCCATTCTTTTCGGTATACCTAACGAAAATGAACTGTACGACAAGATTAACTCGGTGGTCAAAAGACACAATTTCAATCGTTACTATATTATTAATTAATTCTATAATTATCTAATTATTGCTAAACCGATTATATTAGTAATCATCGCATCTTAATCAACAATCGTTGATAACAATCTTTAGGAAAATATTCTCGGTGTGATTTTTCTTGCTAATAATGTCGCATTTGCTGGAAGTTGTGTATCGTGTGTATGCGTTGCAAATATAATTAGTGCTTCTTCGGTAATTTACTTTCGTATTGACGTACATACACATAATTATAACAGTACTTCTCTCAATACATATACGATATATAACATCTTTATATTGTTATTACATTTATAACGCACATTATATATATAAAATTTTTTATTTTTACTTTTGTATTAATCAAACTTTTTACATTACATAAAATTCTCGTGAGAAATTCGCTGATATTTTATTTCTTTCATTTGTAGATTACTGTAAACAGTTAAAATTAAAAATGTTTTTTTGTGGAAGACGATCGGTAATATATGTAGATAACATTAAAAGATACAAAAAACAATAGTATTTAAAAAATGTGAATAGAAATATAATTCCTGCACAAAATATAATTCCATTAGATTGCGATAAAGAAAAATTTTTCTAATAATAATTTCTAGCTGTACAGTAAATAATAAGTTTTGTAATGTTGTAGTAATCTTATAAAATTCTATTAGTGCACGGAATTCAACGACTGATGACTAAAAGATTGTTATAAATCTGTTTTATCATCAAATATCTTATTTTACTCTAATGCTTACATTTTACAGAATATTCAGCCAAGAAGCTAATTTACAGACAAACGTCGAAAAATTTCACAGTTAATATTGTCTAGCAATCAACTTATTCAATTTGTTTCACTTGTGTATCATTATACGCGTCTCAATAATGATGATGTGATATTTAATATTTAATTTTAATTATAGTATAAGTTACTGTCACGAGGAAAAAATGATTTTTGTAACAGCATCATTAATCCCAAGATTAAATATATGAAAAGACATGATCGCAAATTGAGAAAAAGATAAGATTAAAATTTATAAAAAGCAACAACAATGCAATTGTATAACCTGATACGTTACAAAAATGTTATATATATGTGTATATATATATATATATATATATATATATAATATTTTATATATAATATATATATATATATATATAATATTTAATGTTTATATATTATATATATATATATATATATATGTATGTAAAATTATATAATAACAAAATAATCTTATCAAAATTCTAAAATATCAAATTCTTATTTTGTATAAATTGAAATGATGCACCAAAACGAATACAGTAAACCGGTAAACGAAAAAGCCATCATCACACTCTTTAGATGCGACTGAAAGAAGCGACTTACTTTAAAATATGAAAAAATACATCTGAGAAGCATATCATCATAATTCGAGAAAGATGCTAAATATTTATGGATATCCCTGGTTGCAAAAATATGATGCAGAACTGTATAAAAGATAGAAATCAGTTGTGCATCCAAAAACGACCATATACACAATCCTTGAATATAAAATTAGAAAAGATCTCTACCTCAGAGGATTCGTATTTTTAAAACATTCCCGCAAAAAATCTCTGTTCGCATAATATATTGTACATACATTGCGTAAGAAAAACATAACGTATAAGGATTATATTTTAAAACGCAATGAGTTCTGAGTAATGTTATATGCTGAATAAAGTAAAATTAGTCAATGAAGAACATGTCTATCACCAATACTGACGCTACCTGTACACATATGTTATAATGTATGTACAAAGTAACATTCACGCGTTTTTTTCACACGAGTGGAACTCTTTTATATACAGTAAATCTCCAGCAATAGGAAATAAAATATTAGTCTAAAAAGGATCTAAATGGACAAAAATTTAATTATATTCAGCTCTTATATTTGTTTCTTTACATTATTCTATCATCTTAAAACTTTTTATTTTTCAATATTGAATAATCTTGAAATCGATATCATTTTAATTAATTTCCTTTAAAGATATTTCATGATTTTAACAATAGATGATTTATGTATGATTTATCTTTATATTGAATTGAAAAATATATATAATTATAATATAAGTGATATATCTTTTGAGGTCCCAGTTACATTTAAATTTTACGTTATTCAAAAGTCCCATCCCGTGCAACTCGATGACGAATAATATCTCGAAAGAAAAGTATAAATGTATTTGTACGTGTAACGTCTTACGGAACATTCTCTACGATAAAATCTAAATTCATAGAATATCGCTAACAAGGACTAATATTATTATAACAACGTTCATCTTATTATCATCTGTTGTCATTGTACCGACTAACAAATCGCGGCCGTGATCGATATTCTTTCGTACGATCGATTAAATGATTCATCAGCTTTAACTCTGACATAAACTCTGTAAAGGTACTCTTTCCATAGGAACGTTTAAACCGATTACTTGTCCTTAGCGTTTCTTGTGCCAACTCCATTTAGGCCATTTCGTAGCTTGGAACGAGTTCTCTCGTTTTTTCGCTTCGCGCGAGAAGAATTTTAGCTTTCAAGATTGTAATCTCCATTTGACAGGTACAGTTTAAAAAATTATAATGGGCGGAGTATATATTTCGTAATTCCTCAGGAAATGCTTTCGTGAAAAGAGATTTCGGAGATTGAACTATTTAAGATATCAAAAAACTTTAATATAGAACAAAGACACTTTAATATAAACAAAATTCCAAAATTTTGGTATAAATTTGAAAAGGGTGTTTCACACTTTAATATCGATTTAGTATCGAAAAACAAAAAATATTTTTTGACAAGAATTACAACTTTTTGACAAGAACTACAAACAAGTAGTTTTTGTTCCATTCACAACTTATTTTCTAAAATTTTACAGAATTAATTAGTAATATTATTACGTAAGCTCTCCGAAAGCTCTGCGAAAACATCAGAAGACAATGATAGATCCCGAAAGTTTCGTTTTTCACACTTCGTCGCGGAGCACTTGTTTAGGAACGTGTAAAAAGTACCGTTGAGTACCGCGAGTTTTCGCCGTTAGCCTCTTCATCAACAAGTGATTCAGTCTGTTTCTGTTTCCATGCCGTCGTCGTGTCAAGCCGATCCAGACATCCATCAATAAAACATTGGTGACCAGCTGCCGCGTCGATTCTCATCGGCGGTGATCGGTATATATCCGGGCGACGATGTTGCCGGCAGGCATTGAAAGCAGTAATTGGCACCGGAGTTATTGTCCCAGTGTTGCGTCCCCTTGCACTGGAAACGTACCGCGAACTCGAGCCTCTGACCGACCAGTAACGTGTGACAGTAAAGGATGAAGGTGAATTTGTCGCTGAATCCGTCGCACGAGTTGGGCACGTACGTCGCCTGCAGATCGCTGAAGTTTCGCCAGGAATTGAGCGTGTAGCGTATGTGCACGGACTTGTGGAAGTCGAGGTTGATAACGCGCACCGTGCCCTGAATAGCCAAGGTCATCGGGTCCTGCACCAATACATTTTCAAGGCAAACTCGCCGCTCGCGTACCATATCCAGAAAGTTCGCCATGCCGCCTGGCTGCTGGAACAACGGCACCAGCATCCGGTCGACCTTTCTGGGTATTGCCGACATGGATCTGCGCCTGCCATCATCCTGATAACGATCGGACCAATGGTGATCGCTGGTGGTCGCCGCGATGCTGTCCGGATTGCCGCTGTCCTGCGGTCGGAAAATGTCATCGTAGATCAAGTCGCTGTACGCGGAATTGGGTATCTTCGGTATCTCGTCCAGGAACGTTCTTACATCGGCCAGATCGAGACCGAGCTTGTCCGCGAAACGGACGATTTTCTTTCTGTGCGGTGTGCCTGGCGGCGTTTTCCCCGTCTTCAGCGAGGAACATCTACGGACTCGCTGCGGTCTGTCCTCCTCCTCTTCCACTATCTCGCTCTGTGTTTCCTGCTCGGGTGACGACGAGTCGTCCTCCTTCGCCGTAGGACTGCTACCTAGCTTCTTCAGCAACAAATTTAGCCTCTCCTCCTCGTTATCCTCGTGTAGCGCGTCATCATTTTCGATCCGCAACTTTAGCTCGCTCTTCAAGGTCGTCATCTCGTCACTTAAACATTCCAGTGAAAGCGCTTCTGAAACATCAACGGCGCTGCTGTAGGCAGATTGATCGGTATCGCTGTCATTGGCGATCGTACTCTCTGTATTCAGCAACGCTGCACTTTTTGACAATGCCTTCGTGCCTTCTACGGATTCTGTATGGTCTTCCTGGTTCTTCACCTTATCAACCGAGTCTTCGACATCGTTAAGAAAGTCATCGAGCTCACTGTCACTTTTGTCATTGCGCATCACATTCTTCGATACTCCATTGACGAAGTCAACTTCGTCAACGTCATGTTCGTCGTTCTTGTCCTTTTCATTGTCCTCGTCTTCTGCCTCTTCTTCTACCTCTTCGTTCCGCCTGTCTGTTTTGAGTTTGTTGGACATTGCCATGTTAATATGGTTGCTCGGCAACTCGGAGTCTGAATGCGACTTGGGTAAGCAGATGGGAGGAACAACGGAATGGATGATCCTGGGAGGGCTCTCATCCTGTAGAGACACGGTACTATCGTCGAACGTGCTCCACAAGGACTCATGGCTAGGCGACGTTGTTGTTTCTTGAGAGCTTCTGCCGTTGAGGGAATCCTCCGAACTGCAGACAACCTGCTCTTCCTGCCGACGACCATTTATACAAGATGTAGGGTTTCTTCTCGATGAGCAGCTCGACTCGGACGTTGTATCCTCGTTACGTTCCACATTCGTGTTCGTCCGTTTAACGCGTCCGTTCATTGCAATCTTGATCCTCGCACGGGTAAAATTAGTATTGGTGAGATTCGAATTGTTGACCTCGCTATCTGAAGTGCTGACCGGATCGAAGAAGACTTCGTTCCTCAATTTCTCAGCGTCCGAGCTTTCCGGATCGAAGAATATCTCTGGGGAATCGCTGTCGGGCGGCGAGCCGGCGATCGGTGACGCAAAGATGCAGCCGGATTCGGAATCCCCGGAGTGAACGCTCACGACCCTGGTCCCGCTCGGCGAACAATGACAGGCGTCGTGATGGTTCGCCTTGAGGATCTCCGGATTCACCAGCAGATGCGCCAATTCGGCGGCGGTCGCTTCCTCGGCAGGCGAGCTCGATCCATCTTCCTCTTCCTCCTCTTCCAACTCGTAAAAGAGATCCGAATCCGAATTGTGACGCGGCTGATGCTGAAGAATCGGATGCTGATTAGCGAGACTGACGGTAGAATGACGATTGCTCGACGATGACGGATGCAACCACGAGGTCTCGCGTGGTACGGAGGCATCCGTAGTTCGCTCGGGCGAGTCTTCGCCGCTCAAGGACGTCAGCCTTCGATGAAGACACCGGGCAAACGCCTCCGCGCTACCTCGACAGCTGCTGGGCAAGAGCGAACTGACGAGACCGCAGGAGGGCCCGCGAGCATTGCCTGCCGAATCCGTGCTGCCCATCTTGAGGACGTTCGAGCCCGCTGTTGTTTCCTCGGCTTCCGCGTGCCTGCCCTCCGAAGGGGAGGGCGAGGGCGAGGTCGGGTCGCTGCCTCGGCCTGCCGGCACGCTGTCCGAACCGTCGTTCTAGAAAAGAGGAAAATGGCGGATTTAAATCTCGTTGCGAAAAGAAAGACATGCTTGATCGACCGAAGACCTGGCGAGTATAAAGTACGGAAGCGAGAAGTTAAAGTTTTGATTCCTTCATATTTATATCTATGTCATTGACATGTTGTTACCACGAGAAGCGAGATAAATAATTCCTTGTATTTTTGCCATAGACGGTATCTTGCGTGCATCGAGGAGATGTAAAAAAAAAACGATAATTAAATTTCCTTTTTTTTCTTGCGCAAGATAAGACGACTACCCAGATTATCAATCAACTATAATTGCGCTAAATGTATTTCTCTTCCGGTATATTGTGTTGCCAGTGGTTATTTCTTAGGATATATGGGAGGAAGAGAAAGAGGGAGAGAGAGATTTTGAAGTTAATGATCCTTACTTTATCGATTGCGAGTGGAGCTCGATAGATAATTGAAGTCAGCTCGTTAACGGCAGTCAACGGCTCGTTAACAGTTTGTAAGATGTGGAGATGCAAAAAAAAAAAGAAGTCGAAGTACTGAATACGCATTAGTGACGTAGTCACTAATACGCTCGTCATTAATAGTCATAGCATTGGCTCATGGCCACAATGTTGCGCGCTATCGAAACAGCGCCGCAGGAAGTGCAAATGATCAGTCATTACGACCCACGTGCAGCATTCTCTCCAAAGCGCAAAATGCACAGTATCAATCGCGTCGATCTTTGATTCCCCGCCGAACGCGCATGTTTCTTGATTATTCAAGTATCATTGTCTAAAAATTACTGGGATCGACGAATAACCACCTTCCATTCATCTCGGCACCAAAATAGAATCGAGTAGGTCGCGATGGTCAACAAGGGAATTTTTACACAATCGAATATCGAGATAAAAAAAGGAGGGAAACGTCCTCGTTTCATTGCTATTTTACACACGATGATTGTATATTTCTCGAAGCTATAATTAACCGACAGCGATTCTGACGATGACGACGTATTGAAATCTGTATCAAATCTAAGAGAAATAATCGATGATAATAGACGTCTACTGGAAAGAAAATCGTCGATAGACACGTCGCATTCAATGAGAGTTCAAAGATGACATCGCGCGACCGGGGATTACGTAACGAAGAAGCGATAATCAATCGGGACGCGCGAAACAACGATGCATTACTCTGGGCGAATTTGCGAACATGTTACATGCGTAGGAAAATGGCGTGCACGCCGGCGTGAGAAAATTGGAACGATATAAATACACGCGCAATTGGCCGCGAATCAATTCCCCGCCGCCTCCTCCGAACGGATCTAAGCGCTAAGGTGACATTTCGCTCACGCATCCTGCACGAAATTCCTGCCGTGGACGGATATTTCGGAGCGTTTGATTTATCGATATCTATTTTTATCCCGAAGTCTTCATACACACGCACATCGGCGGCGCCGACCGCGAGACCGATTTTAAAAAACCGCATCGAGAAAAATAACTCGCTATGATTTATGTAACAGGCGCTTAGATGATAGAACGCGATGCTCTTGAGAATTTTTTTCCAATCGCAAAATCATTAACATTGATTATCTAATATCTCGATGCGTCAACATGCGTATTTATTTACTAAGATATGTTTTCGTTTTATTTGTCCGTCTGAAGTTTAGCTCGGCGAGAAATTTAAATTCGAAAACTATCGGGTGAGGAGAAAGGTCCTTAAATATATCAGACGAACAATTAAAATCGGGACGCATTCATTATTATAAATAACTAATAATTAATGAAGCTTCCTTATTCGCGATGCGCGAAATTTGATGTACGTCGATTAATATTTTGATAGGAGACTCCAGAAATAGAGTTGCCAGTAACGTTGTTTAATGCGAGCATCGAGTTAACGTCAAACCGGTTAACGACCGTATGGTGTCTATCGGGAAAAAGCGGCGCGCATAAAGGGGCCAACTTTGAAGTGACAGATTTCTTCGTTTCTCCAGTCGCTCGCTTTGCCACGGATGCTTCGCACACGTGTGTGTTTACGCTCGCTATGTCTATCGGAAGTCTGGGCGGCTCGCGAATGATAATCGTTACGTAAGACGAGGCTTAACGTAGGCTTCGGTAGAGAGTGTTGGCCTCGCCATAACGTCTGCCTAAACGGAATTTAAAATTCTACTTCAGAACCCCCGTCCTATTCGCGGATTGAAACAATCCATCATAATCATGTCTTCATCGTTCTTTCTTCAGAAGAGATTACCGTTTATATTTTATGCCATATGTTTCTCTCGTCCGACGTACAAACGTTTGCTTGTTTATAAACAACCTGGACGCAATTGCGATCGAGCCACAAGTTACAACGTAATAACCCGATATCCGAGCTTTACCGTGAACAATACTTTAATCGCTCCAAGTTGCTCCGAGATTGCGCGAGCGCGCGTTTATGATTGAGATAAAGAAAGTTTACGAGTCAGATAAGATCGCGCCTTCGGCGACGAGGTGTGCAGTCTCGAGCCATGGGGACCCACGGCGAAGAATTCCCCGGACGACTCTGGAGATCTGCCTTGCATTGACGAACGCTTCCCGTCTTGGACGCGATAACGGCGAATGTCAAGCGAGCGGCCGCGGATACGCCACGCCTTGAGAAGCGCGAAACTCTCTCTCTCTTTTCCTCTCTCTTTCCTTTTTCTCTTTGTACTTTATTTAGCAGCAATAATCCCTGTCTTTCACCCGCGAGCGATACCGGCGTATACTTTATCGGCTTGGAAATGAGATGGCGTTTCACGAACTGGTTCCGTTACGATAAAAGCACGCTGCTGCGTCTTCCGCGTGAGATTCGGTCGACGATCGTTAATTCGATAGACCACGGTATATATCGTACGTGATGTTTCGTACTCGATATTATATCGAGATTACGAGTGGTCGCGAGATGTAGCGTAATATAATCTCGCGCGAAAATTGTATGAGAAAATATAAATTTTGCTCTTCTTACGAAGCTTTGCTTTTGGAAAGGTCGATTTTGAAAATTGATGCTTTCTCCTACGTGAATTTGAATAATTTTGAACAATCTTACGTCACAATGATCGCGTTCGACGACGATTATACCGTTCTCGCGACTCAAACTGGCACGACTTACGAATTGAGGTCCTCTTGGCATCGGACACGTGTCGAAATATCACGTCTGTACGTTTCCAGCGAAACTATTTTTGCTCCATTGTAACAGAGAAAGATGAAGAGAGAGAGAGAGAGAAAGAAAAAAAGAAAAGAGAGGTTTTATTTTTGTGCGATCGTTCACCGACACAGTTTAAATCGTGACTACTTGACCCGTAGTTAGGGCAACGTCGCAATTTATCGCGACAGATTTATCGCACCCCGCGAGAAAATTGCCCAATCATCGTCGAGATCGCGCTTCCTAATTGATTAGTAACAAATTACGACGTGACGGCGAGATGATGAATTGCATTACTTACGATCATAACAGCCCCCGATCGACAAAATTAAAATTCCTCAACGTACAACGTACAGCGCAAGGTCAGATCCCAGACCAATTGCTTCGTTTTATCGCTGGATATGTCGAAAATTACAGTTTGAAAAGCATTAGAATCCAGATTATATCGCATAACACTGTATGAAATATTTTCGCAAAAAAAGATCAGTAAAGTTAGATAATGATTTGAACGTCGCACAACCTTGGCTATCGAAACACAAGAGATCGGCTGACAATCACGTGCTCGAATTCATGTAGAGGACTATTTTTAAAGCTAATCGATGATGGATTAACAAACTTAGCGCCAGTAGTCTGGTAAACAGACCTAAGATTTGCCATATTTGCATATTCTTATCTTCTCTCGACGATTATATGGACATTAGTCCGTTGAATGAATTTCGCTCTAATTGATTAAAGGGTCAAAGTCGCAGAAAACAATAAAAATCGAATCTTGCAAATATTTTTCATCACAATAAAATCGCGTCTCAAATTAATCATTTAATTTTCAAACATTCTTTTTTACGATTTATTAAAAAAAATTATAAAAAATAATCACTCTCCACATTATCCCGGATAATTATTTGTAGAGCGACGACTTCTCTCGGAAGTTTCGTTAATTTCGCAATATCTCGGATTCTTGTGGTTGCCGTAAAAATTTACAAAGGAATAAATGAGGATTAACGGATAAAATACTAATTAATAATTCATCGATTCACACTTGCATGCGAGCGCCGTGACTCGGACTCGAGGCCGACGAGAATCGACTTCTTGCCAAGAGTAAATAAAGTCACAGTTTATATTTAGCCGGAATGGAAATCTGCGAAAGCCACACGCGGGTTTCTCAACAGGATGATTTTATATACGTTCCAATGAAGATTGATGCGGAACTCTCGCCCGGAAAATTATTTTGTAATCTGACGATTATGATAGTTCAGTGCGAATAAAATAATCGGCTTGGCGGATAATTATTGTAAAATATTGTCTGTTTTTTAATATAAATATACGTGAATATGTAGATGATAAAAGTTAACCTTTCTCCATTTTTTCTCGCAACAATTAATATATATATCAGCTTACATAATCAATTCAGATACAAGCGAAAAAAAATTTAATTCAAAATTATCGCCCTCCCTCTAAAGTATTTATCTCTCAAATCAATTAAAGTATTTCAAAATAATTGACTGAAGATACAGCGATATATATCGTGAAATAAAAAATTTATTATTTTGTTTAATTAACATTCTTTTATATTTTTAGCTAATAATAATGTAATTATATCTAAAAAGCGAATAAATATACATATATTTCATTATAATAAAATATTAATTAACAGCGATCAACCAACTAGCGAATGGACGTCTCGAGATTTGAGAACCATGATGATTTACGTTTGCCAGCCGCTCGAACCGGCTCTTTTATAGCAGCTATAAAATGACAGGATAAAAAGAGAACGACATTCGGCACTTTAATGTACATACAACTAAATATCCTTTGGCAGCGCACACGGATATCACTCATCGATGCAAGTCGTCGTGTCGCGTCCCGAAATGC